AAGTGATATTAAAGATCTCTGAAGCTTTCAAGTTCAACGGTCAACATGATGTGGTTGTCCGACGTGCTGTCCGGAGTCCTCGACTCACCTAGCCGCCTTCAACACCTACACTCCTCTGTAACTCATGCTCACGACTATTCAGCAATAGACTGGGTTTTCACAGTCATCTCCACCGCCAGAGGTGAGAAAGGGAATAAAGGGAGAGGATGACGATCCCGATGATCAGATGCTAGCGAGTGCTGACGACAGCTTGTTGACACAAATCAATTACATGTGTGTTATGTGTGAAACAGCGGAATGGTACAACTCCATACTTCGCTGTCAGGTTATATAGCGACATCGCCATAAAATTTCACATTTGTAAGAAAAGGCTTTCGAGTCGTAAAGTTAGGTTGTTTTGTTTATTTTTTTAAATATTAGTTCAGATCAGAATAGTCAATTTCTTCCTTTATTATTTATTTTTTACGGGCATGTGGCCGAGTGAACGTTCGCATTCTGAGCATGCGACCCGAGTTCGAATCTCACCATGGAATGATACTTCCTGATGTTATCGGACTGGGAGGGGTTCGATCCCAGTCTGCGACACTTTTGGAACGTTCCTGAAAACCATACCAGGGGTTGACCCAAGCCTTATGAGTGAAATTGGGTAGGCGGAACCCTTGGGGACCGTCGATAGCTGTGTTAGCACGAAGTTACAAGTCATCGTGAGCGAGGGCTTGGGCGTGATGGCCTTGTTCAAATTGTTGATCACGCTAGATAACACGTTCTCCCACCCCCCAAAACTGTAACTAAGGTCTGCTCAGCATAGTTGCAGTATATATCACAAAATGTCCTCTGAGGCAACGAATATGGCCTCCGAATTGCGTGCAGATGAAGCTCAGAATACATCTCTGCGACATATCGCGTGCATCACATTACCGGATAATCGGACCGTGACTATTCAGGACAACATTCATTTGGTACGCATGATCATCGAGCAAGTCGACAGTGAAGCCGCGCTGATCAATTTAGATCAGTCCAAGGCTTACATAGGGTTGACTATCGATTTCTGGAGGCTGTCTTTTCGGCGGTCGGTTTCGGGCCGTACTTTCGCACCTGGATCTGACTTCTGTATGCGACTCCCGGTGCGATGGCGGAAGTGAATGGGGTACAATCGGAGTCTTTCATATTGTCTCGCTCCATTCGTCAAGGTTGTCTGCTTTCGCCTTTTCTTTACGTGCTTGCGTTGGAACCTTTCCTTCGCAAGTTAAAGACGAATCCGGTCCTACGCGGAATTTCCCTACCTGGTGCTACCACCTCGGCCAGATATTCTGCCTATGTTGACGACGTTTCGGTTCTTGTGTCGAGCAGAGCCGAGATTGACGAAGTCAGCAAAAAAATCAATCGTGATAAGTCTGTTGGCTCGCGGTTTGGTGCGTAGAAGGGAGTTTCTCTTCCTGGACTTTTCCTCTGGATGGTCGGGCCGGTCAGGGTACTCTGTGTCTGGTTCGGTCTCGATATTCAGTTGGAAATGAATTGGTCGGAGGTACAGGGAAAGGCCGAGGTCGCAGTGCATCTGTGGTCTCGGAGGAATCTTTCCTTAAAGGCGAGGGCGGAAGTATGTGACTCGCATATCTACCCGATTCTCCTTTACCGACTCTGCGCTTCAACTTCAGTATAAAACACTAATTTCTTCAGCTTCTTGTGGGGAGGCAAGGCCACTAAGCCACCTTGGGAGATATGTTACCGCCACCCTTCTGAAGACGATCTAGGTATACCTAGCCTCGAGTTTCATCAATATACGCTTCGCATCGCGTTTCTAGATCGAATGTGTCGCGATTCGGATGAGGAGGGCGCTTTCTCGAAGGAAGGCGCCCGTAAGAACTTCCCATCCCTGAGATGTGTACCCTCGTGCGAAGAGGAGGCCCACCGTTTACCCCGAGGCGATTGCTCCTTCTATTGTGAATGTCGTATTGCTCTGAAACGTCTTTTATGGGCGTCAGATGGCCTCTGCAACATCCGGGTGTTGTCTCGAAGAGCATTATATCATGTTAGTAAGGGGGCCCATTCGTGATGAGCTGATTGACGAGCTCGGTCTTACGAAGCAGGAGGCTCGCTCAATATGGCTTTGGGCGCCCGGGTTGAAATGCCTCAATAACGATAAGGCATCTCTCACCTGGCTGGTGATTGGTGGGGCCCTCTCGGTCGGCAAAGACTTTGTACGGCGGGCGTGGAGAAATCTCTAAACTGCGTTCGCTGTGATGGAGAGATCGAGATCCTGGGTCACGCCTTCTTTCATTGCAGGGTCGTAGCGCCATTTTGCAATTTTGTTGAAAACACCTTATGGTTCGTATGCTGCGCGGAAAGTTCTTTGTCCTCGAAGCCAATTCTCTCTGTAACAATGTGGTACCGCCGCTGACGAAGGACCAACACCATGTGTTCTTCTGCCTGCTTGCGGTTATGAAAGTCGTGATTTTGGCGACACATCAGAAGGTATTCTATGAGGGCGAGAAGTTTGGTTCTTCCCAATTGATCTTATACTTTAAGCATCAGTCAAGATCAGGACGGAAAAGCACCGACTCCCCTCATCAGAATTAAACAAAAGGTGGGTAAATCTTGCGCGTCTGTGTCAAGTGAAAGGAACTGGCTTGGAGTTGTACTTTGATGCAAGTTAGGCATCAGGATATTTTTCTTTCTGTATTGAACTTAGACACTCCCCACCCGGAAATTAGGTTAGTTTAGGTTTGTTTTTTCTCCTTAGTTTCTTCATTTCAGTTAAATTAACTAGGGGATGCATGCTCATTGGTCCCTTTTTATTTCTGTCCCCATTTTTTCTTTGGTCTAATTCCCTATCCCCTCCCTTGTTAGGTGGTCAGTGATGTCAGTTCTTTGGTAGATGCGGGGCACCTTTCGTTTCGGGTGTGATTTTCGTATTTGTTGTGTCTGAATAAGTGCGCGTCAGTGTGAGTGCTTGGAATAAACGAATGTTTTATATTATTAAAGTCCCGCATTAATTTCGTCCAATTAACTGATGTTTCTGTCACATTTAAGGATTGGGGGTGGGGGTTATTACTAATATTATTTTTCTTTTTAGTTTCTTGTAAATAGTTTTCTTCCTTTTTGTAAATATTCGTTCGGGTTTGTTTGTGGCGAGCTAAGTTTAAAGTTAAGACAGATAATGACCATCCTTTTCCCCATTCCCCGTTTTTGGCCTTGTGCCACATTTTGTATTTTTACAAATAAATATCACTCATCATTATGGTACCCTGACTTTTTGAATTTAAGTGACTGGCGTCGAGATCTCATCAATGTACATTTGAGCTGGCTAGATATAGCCGTAAGTTTCTTTTCTCACACTTCTTGCGTGTGGAACTCCCTTCCGACTCCATGTTTTCCAGTTGGCGTTAATCCATAAAAAAATAAATTCCATGTCAATCGCTATCTACTGTCCTCCTGATTACTCTTTCCTTTTCCCGCTCATTATTAATGTTTCTGTTCCTAATTCTTCCACACCCTGTAACCCCTTGTACCTAAGTGACTTTACTTCCTTACACAGGGTGATACTGTACCTCTCTCTATAGCTCTAACATTCGTCCCACACTCTCATACTTACACTCTCTCTAAATTTTATTTTTTATTTCCAGAATTGTTTTTTTTCTGTTTTCTTTTTGAATTTGTAGGTCTGATGAATTGGATCGTATTTACGATTCTAATGGAATAAATTATGACCATGGAATATCAGTGTTTAAGCCTTTTTATTATATATATATATATATATATATATATATATATATATATATATATATATATATATGCATGTTTCATTAAAAACGACAGACAAGGTACTACGGTTAAGCTTTTTATTTAATTTTTCTTGTGTTCAAACAAGAGCTTTCTTTTCTGGACAAAGAGTGTGTAAAAACTGTCCAAATGTTTTATATTTCCGAACGCTTTCGGCTATACCTTTAGCCATTATCAAGGATGATTTAATTTTTCAGCTTAATTGAGTGTGTGCATTATGCGTATCTTTTAGTGGGTTGTAGAGATGTTTTTAATTTCCGAATACGGTTAGCACATTGTGGCCTTGTTCGTAGTTAATACTGTTAAGAGTTGGCTTTTTCTTTTTTTATTATTAAAGCTTCCATTATTTTTAAACTTTTTTTTTTACAAGTGGATGAATTTATTATATTTGTGTTTTCTACTAGATATATATATATATATATCTTGAATACGTCTTTTGTATACATTCTTTTGAAAACAGTATTACACATTTGTCAATTTCTGCTTTTTTGTATACTGAACAACCATATATAATAATCTGTTTATTGAAACAAATTTAAAAATCCTTTTAATGCCTCTGATTTATATAAAGGCAAATAAACGCTAATCCACAACCATGGACATTAATAAAGTAAGCCTAGTAGTAACTACAATTCAATACTAGTGGTAGCAACTCCTAGCAACCGCGGTATTCAGCGAATTAGAATTGGTTTCTCTATGTCGTTGTAGTCGACTATGTTTCTTATCACCCCCATCGACCTCTGCATATTAAACCAATGTACCAATCTGTTGGTGCTTGCCTATCTAAGCAATTGGAAAGCGCCACGTGTTTTTTTTTGGTCATTGTGGTACGTGACTAAGGTTTTGTCTGGTCCAAACTCATTCACCTGATTGGCGATGTTGGATTTATCAGGAGATAAACATAAAAGCACGCAAACCACTCTAGCATATGAAAGCACTCAATCCACCACACCAAAGTACTTGAGTCCCTGAAAGAATAAATAAATAAGTAGTTTAAGAATTTTTTTTAATAAAAGAAGGAATTCTCTCAGAATGGCGTTTCCCCCTAAAAAATTTAATTTCTATAAGTTTTATGCTCGCAATTTCTCTTCTCGCACTTCTCGCTTGTGGAACTCTCTTCCGGCTTTTTACTTTCCAATCAACTTTGACCTTCAAAAATTTAAACGCAATATCAATCGCCATCATCTGTTTCCTTAATTTCTGTTCTTTTACTGACAGGTTTATGGCCACATCAAGTTGAAGCACCGGCCCCCATACTACAGCCGAAGTTAAGCAACGTCGAGCCTGCTTGGTACCCAGATGGGTGACCGTTTTGGAATACCAGGTGCTGTAAACTTTATGTGCTACTGGTGTAATGGATAATGGCTCGGAATTGTTAATCGGAGAGCCAAGTTTCAATTCCCGTTGGGGTCATTATATTCATTTTCGTTGGGAAAGTTATGAATTCATATATTCTCCCCTAGCTATGGGTTAATTAGTAGGAGCTGTATCACTAAGTCATTATTATCTTCACCCACCAAAAACATCTTACAATCTAAAAATATTTTTCTGCCTTTAAATAACTTAAAAAGGGTTGATAAATCGTAAAAAACACGGATCAATCTTTTATTGGCCTCATTAATAATGATTCTTCTGAAATTATTTCTGTAACCTTTTGTGTTTGAGTGGTTTTATCACCTTGCTTTGAATTAAATAAAAAAAAGAAAAAAATCTCGTAAATAGTTTTCTAAAGAAGAAGATTTTTTTTTACGCGTCTGGTCTTCCGTAGCTAAAAATCACCACACGTTGATTTTATGGCAAATGTGCGCAGTCCCTCAGGCGGAGAGGGGATCGTCTTCTTTTACAAAACGGAGGGTGATTTTGGGAGGTCGCAATTTTAAAAGGTTTGGGGATTTAAATCATTCCATTATTTCATTAAATGTTTAAAATATCGCGCAATGTACGCAATTAAGAGTTCTGTCTGAAAAGTAACGAGGCTGGTGTCGCAAACAATTTATTTCAATTTCACACATTTCAAATTACATGGTTTCCCCTTCAAAGTAATCTCCCTTGATTATAATGCATTATTCATTCTTCTTTGTCACACTTCTATAAGGATTCTGGAAGGATTCTTCTTGGACGCTCTTTAGCTGCGTCGTTACGGCCCACTTGATGGCCTCCACGCCTTTAAAACGGTTCCCTTTTATGACCCACTTGAGCTTGGAGAAAAGAAGAAAATCACACGGAGCAAGAGCAGGACATTAAGGAGGTAGTTCCAGTACGGCAAGGTTTTTCTCGGCTTGGAAATGCCGGATGCTCAGGTCATTGTGAGCAGATGCATTGCCGTTTTGAATCAGCCACGATTTGTCCTGTCACAAAAGCATGTGAAATAATGCAATGGTTGCAAAAAGCTAAGATTACTGATATATACTCCCAAGATATGTTAAATGATAACGCAACCCACTTATCCATCCTTCGCCCATAGCTTACATAACACACTCAGTCCAGTTACTTTTCAGATAGACCTCTTATATGTCTTTACAAAACTTTTGTTGTCTACTATCGACGTACATATAAGTTTTCAAGATACAGTGGAATACTGGTCCTTAATAATTATGTTAAGAACTAAATACCGTTTAGGGCTATTCCCAAACCAATATACACTGTGATTTCTTTTTGCGACGTATTTTAATTATATCTTGTTCTTTAGTATTTTCCTCAGAGTATCAGATCGAAACCAACATGGATGCGCCGATTAGAAATAGCCCTCAGTGACTTCGTAGTCATTTAAATAGCTATTTCTCATTTTCCAACCAAATGGGCCAGCACAGCCAGACAACAATACTATAAAACTGGAGCAATGAAAGAGTCAGATACTTGCTTTTCTCTTATTTCAAAGCCACGTGATCCGACCAGATTTTACCTCCGTTTTTATTAAGAACATCTAAAATATATTCCTACAAATCTTAAAAGAATAGCATTATATATACACTGACGTGCCAAAAGTCGTGGAATAGCAGTATGTAAAGGTAATAGTAGTGGCGCCATTCTAGAGGCACACCCATGAGGCCATGGACCCAAGCTGTCATTAAGGCATCCTGTAGGTGTGTGGTTGTTCCATAATGGTTTGGGATGTGATCTTGTGACGTGAATCGAGTCTGGTACGTAGCATTGCTTTGTGAGCATTTATACACATTCATGGATCAGGAAAGATGAATTAGCTTCCATTGGAAATGGGAGATGATCCACCAGGTGGTCTCTGTTAACAGCAAGACGCCAAACACAGAGCCACACCTTGCGTCACTAACTGAACGCTGGAGGATTGGTAAAATGTGTAGGGACCCGATACGTTGCAGTCCACTTATTGATGCTATGGTTCGGGTGTGGTTCAGACTCCATGGGACCATGGATCAGCGTTGGCGACAAGCCACCATTTAGGCTGGTGATGACTCCATAAAGATGCGAAATGTTTTTTCGTGGCATTGTTTGGGTTCACATCTTTTCTCCCCCAGTTATGGGTTAATTAGTAAGACTTGTATCACTAAATAATTATTATGTAAAAAAATTCTTACAATCTAAAAACATTTTCTGGCTTTAAATAACCTGAAAAGGGTTGATATACCGTAGAAAATGTATCAATCAATCAGTGAAATACTGATTAGCTACACAGGCGTGTCTTTTAGATTTATTTACATTCTCTGGAATATAAATATATAGAAAGTACAATGGCCATAAAGTAAGGAATTTTATATTTTGATTAAAAAAGAATTGATCCCCAGCTTTATATCAATGTTATCATTTCTTGTTTATCAAATTATTATTAGGCATGAATCCGCTTCTTCTCCCCAACTATGGGTTAATTAGTAAGACTTGTATCGCTAAACCATTATTATCTTCAAGCAAAAAAATATTACAATCTAAAAAATATTTTCTGGCTTTAAATAACCTGAAAAGGGTTGATAAACCGTAGAAAACTAATCAATCAGCAGGAACCGTTGACCACAACCATACACTATTTCGTTAGTATTTCTATTCATTCATGCGTTCTGTGGACTCCAGACAGGACAGAACACCTTGTCGGTTAGCTTAAGAGAGAGCGTTTGAGGAGAATTTGGGAAAATTCCGATGAATTGGGCAGTCACCATGTTCGTTCGACATTATGGGACACGATAAAGAGATCTAGTCGCACTAAAGTTCCTGCAATTATAAACACCAAGGAAATGTAGACAGATAACAAGATAACATGAGCCAATATTTCTCCAGAATTTTTCTTGTTGAATCGATACCGCGTCAAGTTGTTGCTGGATTGAAGGGTAGCCTACGGGATACTAGGCATGTACCCTATGACTTTTGGCACGTCAATGTAGTATTAGAATACTGGAGTTTGATAAATATTGAACGTATAATTGACTTACGTCCATGTCACTTTCAAATACCACTACCCGTACGATCACCGAAGTTAAGCAACATCCAGCCTGATCAATACCTAAATGGGTGATCGCTTGGGAATAAAAGGTGTATTGAGCTTGGATGTGCGGGTGGTGCAATGAATAACTGCTCGGAATTGAAGTCGGAGAGTAGAGTTTCAATTCCAGTCGAGTTAACAAAAATAAAAACCCATCTTTAGAAGTTTCTTTCCGTTAGAAGACGAAACTGGGAAGATGTGTGTATTTCGAGCGTCTGAGAAAGATTTGCGCTTATAAGGCGCTATTCAACTTTGCTTGATCATCGTCGCACTTCATGGCCGAGACTGTTAAATCGCGTTCGATTTAAAGATGGTTTCTCCTGCCAAGAGGGATGTAGGTTCGAATCCTGCCGGAGATCGCATATATTTTCTCAAATATTCAGACCGGCAGACAAAAATAAACATCACACAGTTATGTGCCATACATGATACACGCGTAGGCGATCATGTATCTTTCGATACATGACTTACAAAGCAGATTTTTTTCTCGTAATAGGTTGCCATTACTTTCTGCGGTAGACCAGTTGCCATCCAAGGCTAAAGAACCCGGTCTCTGCTGCTATTTACCCATATGGTAAAGGTATGAATCCTCTTTTTCTTCCTCGGCCATGGTTTAATTAGGGGAACTTCTATCAGTAAATCATTATTATTTCCCAAAATTCTTACGATCTAAAAATAAGGGTTGATAAGCCGTGAAAAATTAAATCAGTCAATGAACATTTAATTAATACTGGGCACGGAAGAACCATCACTTATATTCCAACAATTTCTTTTCTTGCTCTTCCCGATTGTGTAACGGATCTTCAGGCTAAAACTGGCTTTTACCCTGAAGATCTGTTTACGTGAAACCTAGGTAGGTTTACCTGGCTCTTTAGGATTATTTTAGTTTATATATATATATATATATATATATATATATATATATATATTCTGAAATATCCACATAATGGAAGATATTAGTGGCAATGGTGTGTTCATCAAGCTAATGTCTTACCGTTATGTGAGAGGTATTTCTGCGAGGTATATGTCGTACCCTATATTTTCTGTATTTTATGAACGTTGTGTACTAGCCACTACGCCTCCAAAGACAAATATTCTCGTTTGTATTAAACTACTTATTTGGTACATGGTTTCTATGAGTCTCCAGTCAATAAATCCTTACTCATAAGTTTATTGCGTCATAAATCATTGTTTAGAAAACGCTGAAGCCATCTCATCGTAAAGAACATTTTTTTTACTAAACATGCAAGCAAAAGTAATAAAACCATAGAAAAATTTCCAATATCTCCAATGGCCAATTTATAAAACGAAGCACAACTTCAACACTTGAAATTTACACAGAGAAAAGCAAATATGGAATTTTAGCAAGTTATCAAAAATATGGCTAAAAACAGAGGAATCGGTAATATTGGAGAAGTTACTAAAAGCATGCTTTGAGGTACTTTTACTTGTGATGCAACAGAATCTAGGAACCATTTTAAAACCATTACCGATGAATGATGAATGTTAGGTTACCAAGTATGTGTTTGGTAACTTTGATGATACCAGGCGGTTAAAAGCAGATAATTACCCAAGAATTTATAAATAAAAAAAAATTGAAGGCGGTTATGAAGAAGTCGGCAGAACGTAAATTAAATTTTTATTTTCTACAAAGAGAACATTCTAACAAAGTAGAGAGGAACCTCGGTTCACGAATTTATTTTGTTCTTGAAGGCCGTTCGTAACCCGAAATGTTCGTAAACCGAAACTATTTTTCCAATAGGAATCAATGTAGACAAAAAAAATTCACAGTACAATAAAATTGGAAAAGAAACGCACGACAAAACACAAGAATGTATACAACACGGCGGTCGACTCAAATTATTCCGTTCGGGTTAACTCGCTTCGGC